TATAGTTTTTTTATATAAGTAGTATGTATTGTGTGCCTATAACTACTTGGGAAGTTGCTTACTTTAGATACTTATTTAAGTATAGAGTTGGTACAACATTTTGAGTGAGTCATTTACTTAAAGAATGGTAAAACTGTTCAAAAGGACGATCACATATTCTTATATTGTAATAAATGTAAGAATCTTCCTTTTGTTTCATGTCTTTATTTAAAATATTTTTCCATTAAATGAATTTCTCCAAATTTGGGTATTCAGGTTTAGGAAATTGATGAAATGGACCTGAAATGTTTTTATTAGAAGTCAATAAACTGTTGCGGTTGATATTTATGTAAGAAGAGTAGTAATTGATTGTATATATACCTATACAGGGTGACTGGTGAATTACTATCAATATTTAAGGAGAATACTCGGTACATGATTCTCATTCGAATTATGTAAAAAAAATAGGCACTTAATTTTTGACAAAATTTCCGTATAAATAAATAAAGTGTGGACACGTTCCAAGTGTTCTAAGTGTGGACGCGTGCGGCGGCGTGCTGATACAACACCACGCCTCCGCACGCGTATGTGTGTGTGTGTGTGTATACTTAATCTGTAGGGTGTTCACACGATGCTTAATTAATTACATAACTTTTGGTTAACTTTACTTAGAAGTTTATTAATATTTATGTTATATTAATTTTTATTTTGTCATATATGATCGTCAAATATCACGTCCTCAAATATCGATAGTAATTCACCAGTCACCCTGTATATGACAATTAATATTTTTATTATATAGATTTTACTAAATAAGTATCATACCTTTAGTCGCACACCGAAAATAACACTTAATAGCTGATTTTCAGTTATCATCTGCCAACTATCACAAAATTTACTCTCGTAAGAGATCAACATGAGCCCTCTACTTCCGTGAACAATATTCCTTTTCACAGCAATCTGAAATTAGTAAATTGGGATAGTTATGAATAAATTGTTAATAAAATGTTAATGAACTTTAAAGTTGACAATAGTGATCTTCTTGACTCATACAGAAAGTTTTGTGCAATTATTCTATTTGCAATCAACGTTGTAAAAGTTGGTCTGAATTCTGCTCATCAATAAATCGTTTGACATATATAAATCGCATTTGGACTAAAATAAGAAAGTTCAGAAAAAGCTTTCCGAGTTCTAACTTATTTTCTGACCTCAATTGGGTTCAAACATTTTTATATACAGGGTGACTGGTGAATTACTATCGATATTTGAGGACGTGATATTTGACGATCATATATGACAAAATAAAAATTAATATAACATAAATATTAATAAACTTCTAAGTAAAGTTAACCAAAACTTATGTAATTAATTACGCATCGTATGAACACCCTACAGATTAGGTATACACTGACACTCACACATACGCGTGTCGTGACGTAGTGTTGTATCAGCACGTCGCCGCACGCGTCCACACTTGAACATTTGGAACGTGTCAACACTTTATTTATTTATACGGAAATTTTGTCAAAAATTAAGTGCCTATTTTTTTTACATAATTCGAATGAGAATCATGTACTGAGTATTCTCCTTAAATATTGATAGTAATTCACCAGTCACCCTGTAAATACACACCGGATACTATTTCACAACAGATAAGTGTAGATAATGTTCTTGGAGTAAATAGTGTTAATTCATACACAATCGGTTGTTTTACTATGCAAGAGTTAAAATCTGCTTTAGCCTCAAGAAAAGATTCTTCATGTGGCCTGAATTGGCTTTCCTATAAAATGTTTAAACTTTTAAATGTTCAAACTCTATCTATTTTTTTTAATTTATTAAATAGTTTATGGTCGTCTTCTATTATCCCAGAGGATTGGAAAACTGACTGTTTGGTACCAATATTAAAACCTGGCAAAGACTTTAATTTGGCTGATTCTTATCGTCCTATTACACTGAGTTCATGTGTTGGAAAAATTTTTGAACAATTAATAAAACAGAGATTAATTTTTCACATAGAAAGTAATAATCTTTTACCTTACAATCAGTTAGGCTTTCATTGTGGCCGTTCTGCTTGTGAGGGTCTACATCATTTCTGTCTGGATATCCACGATGCTCGTTCCGAGAATAAAGTACTAGTTGGTGTTTTTGTTGACATTGTAGGGGCTTTCAATAATGTAGATCTGAACAAATTATCCTCAGTATTATTATTACTACAGGTACCTGGAAAAGTTGTAAATTGGATTTTTAATTTTTTGAACTACAGAAAGGTGTTTGTTAAGGTTAACAATCAGTTATTTGGTCCAAGATATTCTTGTAGGGGTGTATCACAGGGTGGTGTATTGAGCCCATTGCTTTTTATCCTATTCATACATCAGCTAAATTTAACTCTGGGGTGTGAAGTTTCTAATCTGCAGTTTGCAGATGATTTAGTTGTTTATTGCTCTGATAGTAACTTTTTTAAGTGTACAATCAGTCCTCAATGTTGCTCTCCTAAGACTAAAGAACTATTTTGATAGCCTTGGGCTGGAGGTCAGCAATGAAAAAAGTAAAGTTGTTGTCTTTTAAAAAAATGGAATTAGAAATAGGAATGTAAATATTTTGTACAATAATAATGTAATGTCTGTAGAGAGCTCTGTAAAGTTTTTAGGTGTTATTTTTACAGTCAATTTTAGATGGAATAGGTACGCTGAAACTCTAGAATCTCGAGCTTTAAATGCTTGTAATGTTTTAAAATCTTTAACAGGCACATATTGGGGTGCTGATCCAAGGATTCTATTAACATTGTATAGATCATTAGTAAGGAGTCATTTTGAATATGATTTTTTTTGTTTTGCAGGGGTAAGAACTATAGTGGATAATTAGAAAAGATAAAAAACAAATGTTTGCGTATTATAATGGGTGCCATGCAAACTACTCCCATAGTGTCAATGTAGGTGGAATGTTAGATACCTCCATTAGCACTTAGGTTTAAATACTTACAATCAAAAATTTTTTGCAAGGTTGCTCTCTGTCAGTAACCATCCACTTCTTGTTAAACTGCGGGACACTATTAACAGGACTGCTAATATTAATTCATATTTGTTTCACGGTTTTTCTGAAACAGAACAAATTGTTAATAAACACAATATTTTTTCTAGCATGGTATGGCCTTGTAACTCTGGGTTATATGAATCGAAATTTATGCAGAAATTATTATGAAATTGTAGTCAAAAGTCTTGTAAAGTATAAGGAAGACATTTATAGGGAACTTGATAGGTGGCAGGGATATCATCAGATATATACAGATGGGTCTAGTAACAATGAAGCAGTCTCTATAGCTGTCTATGATAGTCAGATCAAAAGTGTATACTCCGCTGAACCCATAGCTGTGTATACAGCTATGGAGCTCATTGAAACACGGACTCATCCAAAGTCGATTATAATAACGGATAGTTTAAGTTTATTAACGGTACTACAAAATCCACAAATTCAAAAACTAACTATATTATATATAAAATAAGAGAGTTGTATCACCTGCTGTCTCAAAACAAGTAAATAGTAATATTCTGGACACCAGCTCACATTGGTGTGCATGGTAATAAGCAAGCAGACTATTTAGCTAAATTTACTACAAATCTGGCCAAAAATCAATTAAGTCATAGCTTTTTAAATATCCCTCTTCAAACTCACGTTACAGAAAGAATTTTACAACTTGTGGCATCAGGTGGTAAAGGTAAAAGGAAAATGGTTCGCTACAATAAAGAAAAAGGTCTCTTCTCCCTGGTTTACCCGGGGTAGTGACTATAGCCATAGAAAGTATTATACCACAATCTGTCGTTTGCGTCTGGGACATTGTAGTTTTGGTGCTCACCTTTTTAGGATTGGTGTTTTTGACTCTTCAATTTGTAGATATTGCAATAGTGCTGATGAAACCCTCGAACATATATTTTTTGATTTTCCACAGTTTAGTATTCAAAGGATGGTCCTTGTAGACAAACTTTTAAGTATTTTTAAAACTGCTGAAGATATCCCGCGCTCCCTTCAGCAAATACTAATATAAGCATTCAAGAATGCTTCTTGCCAGTTTATGGCTTTATTGTTTCTACTATAAATTAAATGTAATTGTTATATGTACATATGTATATAATACTAATTTTTTCGTTTTGTTTAAGATATTTGTTTTTCACTTTTCAGCTATTTGTGACAAATGAATTGTACTAAATATGACATTACAAGGACTTGACATTGAAAAAAGACGGAATGTAAAAAAACAAGAATTTGACAAAAAAATTTTTTTCAGTTAAGACATGGCTTCGGCCTTAAAATAAAAAAAATGATTTAAGAAGAATATTAAAAGAAGATATGGCTTAGGCCTGATATAAAAACTTAAGTAAAAAATAAAAAAGGAGATTATGATATTAAAAAATAATTAAAGATGCAAAAGACATGGCTGTATGGGCTTTGTTCTCTTTACCTGTTCTGAACGGAACGAACATAACCAAAAAAAAATTATCAATATAAGGAAATGTCAAAATCGTCATAGTGACAGTTGGCATATTAAATATTTCTATAACCTTTATAACATACAAAATTAGTTAAAAATGTCTATAATATGTAATTTTTCCCAAATATATACATGCTTACGGCATCAAATGTTACAATCGCAAGTCTCTAGAGTTATATATTCAGTTAGCAAAACGAAGTTTCATACATATGAAACAAATTATGCGGTCAAAAAAACAACTAGTGCTGCAGGAGGTAAAAGATTATTTTTTATAGTTTGATTTGAAAAGCCCTGAGTATTTTATATGTATATATGCAGATTTTAGTTGATAGAGACTTAGATAATTTTATAAACAGTTTAAATGTTTACGTCGGGAGTTTTATAAACATAATGATTAAAAAAAATTAGAATACTTATATACACCTAAGCTAAAATTAAATCTTTAAACTCTCATACCTATATCTAAAATGAGTTATTATCTATAAAATAATAAAATTTGATCACCATTGATTTAATAAAAATTAAAATTAATAATACTATGTATGTCCTTCCAATAGGTGTTCTTGGATTGGGTAAAGGCAAGAAAAAGGCTGGTAAGCTGAGTACTATGGAAAAAAAGGAGTTGCCAGTAGAAACAGATCCAGAAAAACTAGTTAATTATGTTTGTGGCTCCAATATATATGTTACCGGGGAAGATGTACAGGTAAGTTAGGTAGGATTATAATTTATATTTATTTCCAAAATATATTAAAAATATTTTATTAGTTTATTCAATATTTTATACTTAAAATATTAACTTTTTCCTTGTATAAGTGAAGTTGTTTTTTACAAAGCAAGAATCTGACCTATCTGAATGATAGAATAAAAATTAGACACATCATATATGCTACTGTGTTAGTATTAAAATGTATTAATGTATCTAATGTAAAGACAGGTATTAATTGATGAAACAAATTTCCTGACTACTTTGTCGATTGAGCAAACTCTTCCTAGTTGCTTAAATTATCCAAGAGTCAATAAAAAATATACCTTTACATAGCAAACAACCTCTTTGTAACGAATTTTCAAATATCAAGAAAAAGTATTCATACCTAATTACCTAACTCTAATTAACAAATTTGGTCAACTTTAAGTTCCCACCAATATTGTATATATTATTATATTTTAATTCCTATATAGTATTATCTAAATCTTAATTTGTATATAGATAAAACCAGACAGTGAATATCCTGAGTGGCTTTGGAGTTTGAACACTGGTAAAGCACCTCGCATTGAAGATTTGGATCCAAATACAAAGCAGTACTGGTTGAGAGTTCGTACGGAGGGTATGAGACGAAACAATCGTCTTCGATCTATGAGAAAGTTCTAGAAATAGTTTATATAGAGAGTTATAGAGAATTTTAGTAATTACAATTGCCGAAGTTTGTTTTGACTGTGGATTCTTGTGGTAAGAGTTTTACTGAAGACTCAGCAATAGATTGTAATATAGTGGTTACTCGTGTTAAATGTTTGTTTTACAAATGAAGAATTGCAGAAACAAGTATTTTATTTGAATGATTTGATGAAACAAAACCTTATTCTAACATTACACAACATTAGCGACAATATCACACGAGATTTCTCATACCGCATTCATAGTGTACATTTTTAAAGTTATACATTTTTTTTATACAATTATACAGATATGACTGAAATCTTATGAATTTGGAACTGTTTACATTATACACGAGTTCAAATGGCTTTATTTCATCACATGTGGTATATTTTCTTCATTTATTGCTTCATAAGCAATCCATCGTGTCTTCTTTGATGATCATTGGGGGCGCGTAATCACCATGTTTGGTGCCAAACGAATAAGAATATGGATTCTGAAATGTCAAAAAATAATTGTCATTAAAAATGCAAAGGTATCGTTTATACAGCCAAAAAAGTATTGTTGTATATTAAAACAATATTATGTAAAAATTATAGACTGATGTATAATAAAATTGGAGCAGAGAAGATTATTTAATCCAAAAGAATAAAATTTTCAAGGTTAATCCCTTCAGATTTCAGAACCGTTATATGGAATGTCTTTTTGTTAAGAATAATATGGAATGTCTTTTCGTTAGACTGTAAAATGTAAACAAATGACAAAACCACTCGATCTACACAATTAGTATTTATATATAAAAATATTCTCATTTATAATGGTGCAGTATTAATAGACTTTTATACATTGTGTTCCGTAATGTTTTGTTAAAAGATATTCTGTCAGTTAGCCTTTTTAAATTTTTGTTGTAACGTAGCGATAAAACTTATATTCACTCTTATTTTCTATAGCTCTCAAAATGATAATGCACGTGGAGTTAACAGCTAGCTTACATCCAGTGTGTATGGTAACAAGAGAGTTTAATGTTTTGTATTTTCGTAATTATCTTGATAGTAACGAATCGATACTATCATGTGTATTTTGACGATGTTGACTTGTGGTTAGGCTACGGATTGTGTATTCGTTGGTTTATTATCTTCTATATACATATATAAAAATGGATTGCTGTTCATTAGTCTCGCTAAAACTCGAGAACGGCTGAACCGATTTGGCTAATTTTAGTCTTGAAATACTCCTGGAAGTCCAGGGAAGGTTTAAAAGGTGAGAAAAATTGGAATGATTGCCGAAAAAACCCTAAAAACAGCCCTTCTCTATTTCCCATAAAAACGATTTTTTGACATTAGACTTGACAACTAACTAATATGTCAATCATTCTGTTCGATTGAAACAGTAGAAATTTAATAAATACCAATACCGGGTTATTGAAGACGGAATAGAGTTCGCCCGGTCAGCTATACCTATATTACTAATGACGAAATTAACGCGGACGAAGTCGCGGGCAAAAACTAGTAGTTTATAAATAGAGAATTGTGTTTCTAAGCCCATAAGGTTGTCTGGTAGAAATCGCTACCTAGCGATAAGACCGCCTTATTGTGCGTTTACTTTTATTTTTTATATATTTAATTTTTATTGTTAAATAACTATGCTATTGTGGTGTTCAATAAAGTATATTATTATTTAAATATAGTTATATTACCTTCTTCGTGTTATATAAGTTCGGTGGGTAGGTGGCTGGACCGGGGGCTTTCGTCGGCTTCCCGGCACCTTCAGAGCGCGCACCGAGAGTATAACGAGGAGATCTGACATGTGACAGGCAAAATATTATTATTTAACAAAAACTTAGAACAATGAACGACCACAAATAAATAGACCTTATACTTTGGGATGTACTATTCGTTTTTTATTATTTTGAACTAGGTACGTACTCCCGACGTTTCGGTTAAGTATTTTGGAACAAGCGTAATTACGAACAGACGAGATGAAAACGAGTAGTAAATACGAAAATATTTGTTTTATTTATTTCAATGGTCAGGTTTTATGATCGGATAAAAATGTTTAGATAAATCCAACGATAGCATAGGTTGCTACAATAGCAATAGCATAGGTTGTTTATTATCGAAGTCTTCATGTTTTGTTTATTGTCTCTAACATGATCCTAAACATGAACAAAACCGTAAAACATTCGTATTTAAATTGGGAGAAAACCTGGAGTACGGAAACATATTAAATTGATTTTAAACCAATAGAAACTGAGAGATCAAAATATTTTTGTAATTATTCTATCTCTATTTTTAAAATTGTATCAACTATACATAAATATAAATAAGAAAGTCTATAATACTAAGAATAATGTAGAAAATATCCCTCATATATCAGAAAGACCAACCTTGTTTTATAAACATCCACATCCCTTTGGAAGTACACAGCTGGGCCTGGTGATTTAGCTTTCGGATTGAATCCAACCCTCGCTCCCATTGTATACGCCGGTGTACCGGGACCTAGTCTTAGGGCGTACGCGTTAGACGCTGGCCCTACTCGTTTAAGGGCGAAGCCCAATCTTGCCCCCATAGAATACTGGGGTGCTCGGGGCTCTTTGGTTGGAGGGCAGCGCTCCGGAGCGTGCGCCCCCGGACCGGGAGTTCTTAATGTCGAACGAGTTGGAAACCTAGAATAAATAGAGATTACTTGTAAAGAAGCATAAGTATTGTAGAAAAAAATCAATATTCATTTGAGTTTTATTTTAATGTCAATAAATAGTACATACTTATATAAATAACTATTATATTTTTCGTTTTGCAAAGGCTTAAGGTAATGAATTGCATTCATGATACGATATCTATTTTCAAAGTTACTTTGTAATTTTCGGTTTAAGGAACACCTGTCGTTTCAAATTCGGTTAGGCGAGCGTTTAACGCGCGTTAGATAGAGTCCCTTAAACCTACACCTGGGTCGCAAGTCCCAGTCACTGTTGAAGCTCCTCTCACTACAACGATGGACCCGACACACGCACCGTGAATACATTGAATGATGAGAAGTTTCTTCTCTTATGTTTTGAAGTTTTTTACACTCACCTAGCTCCGAAACTCCAAGCCGGTGAGGATACTAGTCCGTCTCTAGTGACTCGATCTATGCGGTAAGCTGGGCCGGGTCCAAGTTGCTTCACACGGAAACCAGCGTTGATCCCGAACGAGTACATTGGGTTCCTGTAGCGAGATGGGTCGTGGGATGGGAACCCTACTGTTGTTGGAAGTGCGTAGGCTCCGGGACCAGGACCTTGGAAACAGAGAGAGTTTTGTTATGAGGAAGACCTCAAACGAACAGACGGCCTACTTGATGGGCGGTCATCATCGCTCTTGAATATCCGAAACAAGAGATATTTCCGATGTTTTGCCGACCTTGATTGGTGAGAAAGAGGAGTAAGGATATGCAGGAAAGGATGAGAACAGTTAAAGAGCAACGCAGCCATTAAATACCGCCAATCTTCTATGAGAAGGTGTTACATCCCCGGTCGAGCCAGCGTATATTTGTAGTTACTTGACGACAGCTAGTTCACCACAGTCTTTTAGCAGTCACCGAGACCTTTCGTGATTGATATTCTAATTTTTTTTCTCAACTTCTTTAATTCAAGAGTTGAAACCGACAATATAGTTTAGATTAAAATTTTAGGTCTGAACATAAAGAACCTTTTTTCAAAACGGTGCAGATTTTACAGTAAGATTAACAACTTCAAATAAGCAAACTATATTGTACAACTGGTAAGAATTTGCATCCTGAATATTATAGACAGTTCCAAAGCATTTTATTAGTGTAAATAAATTTTACGATTTATGAATGACAACTCTTTAAACTATATATGACTAAGAACGCTCTATATTTTTAGGAGTTTAAAAGGTTCTTCCTCTCAAAAGCATTTCATTAAGTACATCGGTTATGAATGAATAAAGAATGTTAAGTACTTGTTGTTATTATATATTTTTTATGATTTTCTTTTTAGTAATGCGTTCAGAGTGTTTCTTTAGTCTTGGTTATAATTTTTAATCTATGCAAGAACGAACTATCTGTCACCATTGTTTGAGTTTGAATGAACTGTTATGTCAAATTAATCGTTTTTTTTAAATGAAGTCTTTGCTTAAAATATATTATATAGAAAATTATAACAATAATATTTGTAGTATAAAATGTGAAGTCATTGATTTTAATGTACCTCGAAGCAAATTCTTAATTCTATATTATCAATATAGATCATTAGTTATGTCATATTATGTGTATAAACTTTACCCAAGGGTTTTTTGCAGGCCATGGTGTTGCTTTAAACAGACAATTTTGAAAACACAGAAAATTTCTTATAACTAACTAATACATAATGTTGACGCGTCCGAGTCCTGTTTGTGTAACGTCAAAGTGATGTTATTATAATTTAAATATAGAAATAATAATAAATATAGTAAGGAGGTTTCTAGCTGGTTTTATTTTTGTTTTATTATATGATTATAACACGCCTATTACAGTCAATAATTATTAAACAATTTCTATAACTAGAACAGGTTATTAAACATAATATTGAAATAAATAATTTTGAAGTAAACCCTAAAATTAAATATTATATTATCCTTACTGTAGAATAATTTCGAGCTTAGAGTAATATGAAATAATAAATGTACTTTCGTAACCACATAAATTTTAGTTCTGTTAATAAATTATAAATTTTCCTTTTTCAAACTAAATTTGTGCTAGAAGAGATTTTTAACACTTTTTCGTTTTAAAATTGTTTCTTCCTAATATTGATGACATTATTAATAATAGATATTATTTTTATTTAATAAGTTATATTTATTTTTTCTTATATTTTGAAATAAGTATTATTTACTATATATATTCATAAAAAAAAACGAAAAAATAGGTAAATATGAGATTATAAAAAATAAAGTCGTAGTTGGTCTCTATAACATGATTTAAAATTTCTTTTTAGGTAATATCTAAATATTCTGTAAATAAAGTGATTCAAAAGAGCCTACACTCTTCTATCTTTGGAGTTTCGACATAAACCATTATAGAAATGAATTATTATTACTCTACCTTTGTTAAGTTTTTGTGTTAAACATTTTACGCCAGAGTTCGAAAAATCTAACTCCAAATTTGTGGAAACACGAATCCAGGCGTAATTAAAAATGTTGACCATCGAATTAGAAAAATTAAATAAGGAGGAAAACTTTGTTGATGCAATAAAACTTCAAATTCTGATAGTCGATTTATTCATGAAATATGTTGAATAGTACAATAGTCAATAGGCAGAACATTGAAACATTTAATTATATATTTTATTAAATATAAAATTCACCGGGCTGGTATGACTGTCTTCAGCGGAGTCATTTCTTCTCCTTCTAAATCAGTTTCTTCAGAAGATTCGCAAGCACCCCACTGTTTTAAAGAGGGTCAATTATTGACGTTGAAGCCAACGACACAAGATAAATATTGTAAATAAGTTAATACTCAGTATGGTTCGGAATCGAATATTATTTTTTTTAAATAAAAAATATTGTATACTGATACAATAAAAATATAGTAATATAGGTTGTGTTTTATGAAATTGCTTTGGATTTTGAGAAAATCCTTTAAATAGAAACAATCAACGGAAAAACAACCACCCTTAAATCGTTATATTTCTACAGAAAGTAAAATGACGAGATGCTATAAATCGGCGATTGAAAATTGTCTTAATCCATTCATCATTAAAGTTATATGTTCCATGTTCTAAAACAATTAATTATGAGTCATAATTCTTAATGTTCGTAAATATCTTACCTGAGTAGATATCGGATATTTGCGTAGCATTCGGTACAGAAGCACAGCGTATATTAAGTTAGCGGCTCCTAAAACCATCATGGCGCTCTCGAATCCCGCCACCCAAGAAAATAATCCGCCTACAACTGGTCCTGATAGGAATAGAATATTTGGTGTATAGAATATTTCGTGTACAGAATATTTGGTAGTCAAAGAAAAGGTGGGTTTCGTTTAGTTTCCAGTAAACAGTAGGGGTTACGTCACTAAGGTATAAAAGACTATACATTTTCTGTAAACTGCTATAGGTAATTTTAGTAAAAAGGCAGTTAAAATTCTAAGTATCAAATTATATACAGAGAAAGTGTATAGTTTGTCGTTAACAAAAAAAGGAAATTTCACAACAGTATCTTAGCGATTAAAAATTATTCTATGCTCTCTACAAACACATTTAATTTCTATAGAAATTCGTACAGACAATTTTTGGTGCTTGGCGACTAATTAAAAATTCGCAAATAAGAGAGAACACTACTCTTTATAAAATAAACATAAACAGCTTATATAATAAAATCTTCAGATAAGACTATTTCCAAATATGTAATAAATATGGTTTTAGTCTAAATTAAACATTAAATTAAATTTTATAGCATCAATTTGTGTCTTTACACTCTCACTTCTGACATACCTCTACATATCTATGTATATATATATATTTAAGTTTCCATACTCACCTATGGCGTAAGCAGCGCTCGAAGCGGCTTGTAGCAGCGCTGCCCTCGCAGCTAGGACGGCGGGCGGAGCCCTAGCAAGGAGACAAGGGACTAGGGCCGCGTCCGCCGCGCCGAGACCAAGACCAGATAACAGTTGAGGGAGCGATAACCAACTCACCTGGAGCGAAGAATCAATATACAGGGTGACTGGTGAATTACTATCAATATTTAAGGAGAATACTCGGTACATGATTCTCATTCGAATTATGTAAAAAAAATAGGTACTTAATTTTTGACCAAATTTCCGTATAAATAAATAAAGTGTGGACACGTTCCAAGTGTTCCAAGTGTGGACGCGTGCGGCGGCGTGGTGTTGTACCAGCACGCCGCCGCACGCGTGTGTGTGTGTGTGTGTACCTAATCTGAAGAATGTTCACACGATGCGTAATTAATTACATAACTTTTGGTTAACTTTACTTAGAAGTTTATTAATATTTATGTTATATAAATTTTTATTTTGTCATATATGATCGTCAAATATCACGTCCTCAAGTATCGATAGTAATTCACCAGTCACCCTGTATACGCTTCTAGCGAGGGACCTATAGTGAGGTTTTTTAAAGCCTTTGATTTTGTGTGAATTAATCATTATTTTAAGGTAAATCGGTCAGATAGAGAGGGGCCAATAGTGATTTTTTTTTGTGAAAAGCCTTTTTTTTTATGAATTAGTCATTTTATTTTGCCCTCACGTTGGGATGGACATGTTTTATATAAGAGTTTCCTTGAGTAGATATTAGTTGTAATACTTATATTTCTCTGATTGTTTACTTTCTACCTGCTATCATAGTGTATTTTATATATAGTAGTATAAAAAAATTCACAGGTGTTTCCATAATATTTAAAATTGTTAATAATAAACTTAAAAATTTCAGTTACACTTCTAGAAATACTTCCTTTAAAAAAAATACAATCAAAATTTTAATTACGATTAAGAATGACAAAAACACAGTTTTAGGTCAAGATTAGCTATTTTGTCATATAATAAACTTCTAACAATTCGTTCTATATCTGCATTTGATAGCAGGGGGTAGCAAAAAGATTAGATTTAATATTTTTTATATAGTTTCTTTATTATTGTTGTACCTTAAATATCTTGTATACTTGTACCTAATTCGTGATATGGAAGAGCGGAGTTTCCTGGCACATGCTTTTCATATGCTTAAAAGGAGACTCCAATGACTTTATATTTAAGTACAAATTTGTTAAAGAAAATAAAGAATTTTTATTATTATTATAGATAGGTACTTTGTTTTCGACTTGATTGTTAGTATTATTGGCTTTTAAAGAGTCTTTAGGAAGGGGAAATGTATAATAACCGATGGAGCGTGTGGTAATACGAGTGCAGCGAGCCCCACAGACGCGACTGCCGACACAGCCACGCGCTCAACACCGACCGACACCCACCACCCTCCAGACACACTCGCCAACAAGTAGCCCGCGCTGTCCGGGATGAACACCGCGCCGAGAGCCCAACGCTAGACCAAAAACAAAACACAAAGGGATCAGCTAAGGGACCGTTCAAGTATTACGTAACGCAATTTTCGAATATTTTTGACCCCTCTTCCCCCCTAACGCACAGTCACGTTTTTCTGTAGCTCCCCCCCCTTCTCGAAACGTTACGTAACACTAAAGTGATCAATTTCATCCAAAGTCGTAAAACAATATGTAATAGTTTGGTATAGTTTTAATCTATTAAATGAAAAAAGATCATTGACACAAATCTCCCTCTTCTGAAGAAATTACACTATAAACACTATGAACTCACGAATAAACACTAACGAATACTGACCACGGAACCAACATTAAATGACTTACAATGCAATCAAGGTATTTCCCGTAAAATATCAATTAAGAGGTTTGCAAACTTGGGAGAACAAATAAAAATATCGACCAGACTAATACAATCTGGTGAACATAATGTAACGTATATGAAAAGAGTTGTCAGTTTGGGGGTTTTCATTAATAATTTTTTTTAGAAACAATGCTACGTAACGTCTTACGAGACCCCACTCCCCTAAAATTGCGTTACGTAATACTTGAACGCTCCCTAAGACTGGTCCAGGAAGACTAACAAAAATAGGACCAAACATGCAGAAACACAATCCATAACGTTATTTTGGACCTTAAATGTAAATGAAATATATTATTTTTCAGATCACTACGAGTATTTTATTATTTTTAAAACTTCATACTATTGAAATTTAAGTTGCTTCGCAGAAACCATATGCACGGACAGATGTAACGATCTTGTATATAATAATAAAATACTGGTAATAATCTGAAAAGTATTAGTTTCATTTATATTAAGAAATCCAATTTTATTAAGCTATTAATTTTTGGATGATAATCATATAATTATCCTTACTTGCGGATGAAATCTATCCATGATCCAAAGTGGTAAACAGGGCTCCAAAGCTGCCATAACACTAGTAGTTAGTAGCACTGCGCCTGCGCACCAACCAGTGGAGCCTGAACGAGCCTCCACACACATACACGAGATACTCGAGGAGTTACCGGGAGACGGGCAAACACAGGGCGCGGAACATACACACGGAATCTGATACAATGAGTTAATGATATATGATTATAATTCTAGATAATCATTTAATACCTGAAATAGAATCCTTTCTATGTATAGAATATTCTAGTCAGAAACACACATTGAAATAAAACTAATAATTTGCAGTTTTACTACGCGTTTGTAATATTTTTATTTTTAATTACATTCCCGATGTTTCGATTATTTTAAATCAGCGATGATCAAGTAATGATATATGATTGTAATTATAGATATTCACTCTATAATATTTGCATTATATTGTAAAATTTTATAACATACTGTAACACTGTTGAATTGCCAAATGAAACAATAAATAAATAACTGAAATAAAGAGAAGGCAATGAATATTGAAATAAATCTAATAATTTTATAATCTTCTACGCGTTTGTAATATTTTTATTTTTAATTACATTCCCGATGTTTCCGTTACTCTCAGCAACTGTGATTACGGGCAGATGAGATGTGAATGTCTGTCAGTTGGTCTTGTTAGTTATCATCTATCGCGAAAATCCAATACATATAACCCACTCAATATAATAGAAAATTAAGAAATCGTTATCATGTAAAAGAAAAGAAAAGGAATCCTTACAATTAATCTTGACTATCAATTTGGTTTTGGTATCAAAGTGTTCCAAACAATAAAAATGACCGGATATAATTATTATTTTGAACAGATTTAATACTCACCATTACGTATTCGTCTTTGTTGAGATAGATGAACTGAAGGGCTGGGAATAAATATAAGGAAATTATTACATTCACTACTCATTAAATGAATACTTCATTACATAATTGAATTAAAATCTCTGATCAAATACTTGTACGTTAAATGCAAATGTTAATCCATAGAATAGCTGTCAAAAGAAAGTTCTATAGATGTAAATATTGATTGCATTTTTAAGGGATTATATTAAGGTATGTATTTGTGACAGACAGACTGACAGACCCTGGCTAAAGCTGGGTAATTGCCAGGAAGAAGAAGAAGATGTATTTGTATGAAGTTTATTAGAAGCAAGTAGTGTGTTTTAAGACTATACCAAGATTTATGAGAAGCACAAACGCGATCAATTGAAATGGAGCGGCTGGACTCCATAGCTTGTATGCCGCGCCTCCGAATGGATATCCGACTAGAACACCTAAAAAACACGTTAGAATAAAGATAAATATATTATATAAAGAATCATTGGTGGCCTAGTGGTTAAAGGTCCCGCCTCTCATGCACGAGGGCGCGGGTTCGATCCTGGCAAGAACCAATGTGATTTTTCCGAGTCATATGTACTTTCTAAGACTATTTAGACATCACTGATTAATGTTGATTCCCAAAGAGGGTTGATGTCTGGCAGGCGGCCGGTCGTAAACACAAATAGCCAAAATTATTCACAACATGTAAGGCAGACCCTGGCTATAGCTGGGAAATTGCCAGGTGGAAGAAGATGAAGATAAAGTTTGTTCATTTTAAACTTGGTAGATTTTAAAAGTGTCTTGCATTTTACTTTCTGGTGTGTTGTGGTTTAATAAAGACGCATTTATATGTACATATGTATTTACGCATGTGTATGTATGTATATCAATACAGATTATAAAACAAAATCCAAAAATATAAATTTAAATTTAAACCAAGTACCTGTAGGTAGCTATAGTTTGCCCTAAGTTAGATTGCTACACTGTGTGTGAAAACGTAAGAAAAAATTGTTAAATGTTTCAGTTTTCAACTCATAAATCTTCACACATTATACTCGTAGTATAAACGTAAGTTATTCAATAAGAAACGGGAAATGATTCGTATGTAGTGTGACGATGTAAATATGTAGTATTATATATTTGTATTTTTTGAGAATTATAATTACACTAGGTCCCCACCCTAGCTTTGTAGGGGTACTTTACAAAAAATATAAAATAGCCTATGTTGCGTATAATATGTACGTTCAGTACTTTCTTTTTCAGTTAAATGAAGACAAACAAAAATTTCATAATCTTTTATTTAATTCTTCGTTAAACATAAAACAAGTTTGAACTTAGAAAAACGGTATATTTTTATGTTAATAATAGTTTTTTAATATAATAATATTACGTACTCACTTTTTCATGTGAAAAAGTTTGGATTTTGTTTTATCATATGTATTGATATACATATATACACATGGTAAATACATATGTACATATAAATGCGTCTTTATTAAACCACAACACATCAGAAAGTAAAATATAGTACACTTGGAAAATCTACCAAGTTTAAAATGAACAAACTATATCTTCATCTTCTTCTACTTGGCAATTTCCCAGCTTTAGCCAGGGTCTGCCTTACATGTTGTCAATAGTTTTGGCTAATTGTTTTTACGACCGGCCGCCTGCTTGACATTAACCCTCTTTGGGAACGCATTAATCAGTGATGTCTAAAATACTCTTAGAAAGTACATATGACTCGGAAAAATCACATTGATACTTGCCAGGATCGAATCCGCGCCCTCGTGCATGAGAGGCGGGCCTTTTAACCACTAGGCCACCACTGACTAAAATGAACAAACTATATAATGTTCCCTAAGGTAAGATAGGATGATATAAAATACGTACCAAGAGCAACAGCTCCCAATAACGCAGCAAGAGCTCCGTGCGCGTCAGACAGACAGCGCGCCACGAGCGTTAGACCTCCCACCCCGGCCAGCGACGCGCCCGCTCCCTGTGTGGCGCGCCCTAACCCAGCACACACCGCGCCAGTGGTAGTATTACCAGCACAAACACCAAAAACTGGAGTATAAAACATATATAGCTTATGTTGACAGAATAAAGGAGGTGTTTGTCTTGAAATAATTGAAATATATAATAAGATTGTGCTGTCCTAGAGGTTAAAGGCCCGCCTCTCTTACATGAGACGCGGGTTCGAATCCTGCGAAGTATCATTGTGATTTTTAAGAGTCATTTGTACTTTATAAGAGTATTTAGACATCACTGACAGACGGCGAAGGAAACCTGGGTTTATAACATCAAATTATAAGTTTGATATCACCAGCCCGTCTTGAATGGTAGAACTATTAGTAAAATACTAATTATTATAATTTGAAAAAGTTATAGTAAGAAATTCTCTCTAATAAAAGCTTACAGTTTGCCTCATATTCTGGAAATGTCACATTGTTTTTTTTATAATAGAACAAATAATTTGTTCAGAATTAAGACTAAAAATTCTTTTAAAGCAATGACCAGAAAGGAAAAATAGAAAACAATTGTACCTACATATATGTCATAAAACCTAAGGACTATTTTTTAATTCTGAATCATAAATGCCACATTAAGTATTCATAGCAAAATAAATAGGACTACAGGAAAATGAGAGAGAAATTTTAAATATATCAAAAATTATTACAAAGAGTGTTCGTACTGCACTCGCACTATTTCATAATTAACCTAATTTTAAACGAGCGAAGTTGCCGGCAACAGCTGGGTCTAATATTATATACGCTAAAGTTTATTTGTGTGTTTGTGATCATTACATATGTTATGTATTGTAAAAATATAAATACAGGAAACAGTCATACTCAGAATCATATTATGTATATGGTGAATGTAGTAGTTACTTTTAAATTGACGGTAAAAATTGCTTTGAAATTTCTTTATATCTTTTAAATCCCAATGGCCTTAAAAATTCGTCCATACTATCACATAACATTTAGAATTAAGAAGAAAGACGACAAGCAACTGAAATTAATAGCAAAAAAACATTAATTTTTACTATGAAAAGAATAAAAGACATCTAAGAATATTACCAAATATAAAAAAAACTAATGATTTTGGAATAAAAAATAGACGTTTCAGGCAGACCCTGGCTATAGCTGGGAAATTGCCAGGTAGAAGAAGAAGAAAAAGACGTTACTTATGACTATCATTGCTATATTACTCACTGAGAGCGGATATCGTAAGTATTGACGTAGCTAGTCTAAGACATGTAGTAGGTCCTTTGTTCATGACTAGAGCAGCGGCTGCAGGCGCCGTGGCTAATTGAGCTGCTGCCTTCGAACCAAGAACAGCACCTACGATAGCTTGAGAGGTTCCCACGAGTTTACCTTGAAGTACAGAACTCGATTTAAATGGATAAGGTTCCATCTATAAAGTCATTACAAAATTATTGACCCCTCAAAAGTCCCTTGTCATACGATATCACACTCCAGTAATACCCTCCCTTGTCATTAATGTGTGATAACTTAATGGATGGACCTTAATATACATTGAAACGTTCGAAAAGATCAGAAATAGAATATTTGACTTAAAAATATCCTCCTTTGACTTAAAAACTGTTTGTTTGTTTATTCTTTGGTTCGAATTGAAAAATTCTTTTTATGTTGAATAGATTATTTATCGAGGAAAGCTTTAAGCTATATAACATCACGTTGCGACTAATACAAGCGAAATAGTAATGGAAAAGGTAGAAAAACGGTTAAAATTATTCATCTTCATTCCGTTGCGTGCTCTGCGAAAACGGTTTAAGATATTATAAAACTTGGTATGAAAGAATTACTCTTTTGAATTGTTCTAAAAAAGTGTGTGCGACAATATATCTTTTACGTACAACTCATTACAACCGTTTTTATGGTAGTAAAATTTGGTCGAAATTAATGCATTATTACGAATTATTTATTAGAGTTGTATCAACATAATAGTTTTCTATAAACCTCAAACTTTCAGTGCATCCAAATAAAATTTAAGATATCTATGTAGATTTATGATAATTTTATCTTAAGCTATATATTTAACTCACCCTGATCAGTAACTTGTCTCACGGTACTGTTCAATAACTTGACTAAAGGCGTCTCGTGATGTGACCATAGCTCCAAAGACTCGCCTCTCACCCAATCCGGAATTATAGGAACTATAAACAAATTAATTATATTATATTCTTCTACCTGGCAATTTTTCCCAGCTATAGCCAGGGTCTGCCTAACATGTTAAATAAATAATTATATTATATATATGTATATAATTATATTGAAAACACACTAAACTAATTCATTTAATATGTTCGTCAGATTTAATTCTATAATCTATTTCCTATTTCAAACCAGAATCTCTGGTAGTAAAATTGATCAAAAAGGATCCAATAAATGGATAAAATGTCACAAAATTAAGCCACAGAATACGCTTTTTGATGAAAAAAGTGTTAATAATTTGGTAAAATGTCACAAAACGCAATAATCAGCCACGGAATACGCCATAATAACTAACCAAGGACGGTCAGTAGAACATTATCCAGGAAAAACGTCAAGTAGACCAAAGCGAAGGTGATGGCTCCAGAAGACGTCTGTCCCAACATCCTACTTGGTGCGAGTTTGAATCCCGACTGTATCATCCAACACTTTGTCCCCAATGCGTGCGACCGTCCGATAAAAAGGCAATTCGTTTTCAATCAGTTTCCAACGGCGCGTGTGCACCCTTAATCATATTTCCCGCCAAACGATGTGTCTTTGAGATAAATTATTTACAGGTTCACTTCAATGAATTCCATTAAATAGTAATCTATTTCTAGTTATACATTTTAATAAGCATTTCTTGCTTCTTTTCCAATAGTAAGCATACTTCTTTTTCCTTTCAGCCAAAGTTATTATAAAGTTTATATAGATTAATATAAATACATACAAATTAAAAACGATATAAGCAGTTGTTTCACAAATTCAATTATAGTAACAGTTTGTAAAAGACAGACCTCTTAGTATCTAAGAAATATTTGCTTATAAAATATATTTGTATACTGTACTTAATGTGTTTGGACCCGATAGTGGAAAGTGTTTTATTGACCTATGAGATGGGAGGTTTAAAAGGAATAACATTATTTGGTAACAAGCAAATATGAAACCTTTCTGAGGCAATACTTACGACACTTCGTTCTACTATAAAAGATTACAAGGTGCATCAATCTATTCATCATAATAAAAAGCTGTATTGCATTGATTACAATTTGAATGTACGTATCTCTAATTATGTATATTATATACAGTATATATGTACATATAATAAAAAGATTATTTGTAAGTCTTTTTTTATTTGAATCTATCCCTAAAAATATCCATATAAAAAAATATTTTTTGTTAATTTTTGAATCTCCGTGTATTTGTACTGTGTCATTTTCAATATTGTAAGAGTAATTCATATTTTACTCGACATGTAGGTATTTAGTACAAAGGAACGATATATTATAAACAAATAAACTTAAATTTCATATATAGCAATAAAACTAATATATAGAAATATTAATAAAAATTAGTAATAAAACAAGGTTTTAATTGACTTATTATTAAATATGTTTTTATTTGCTTCAAGTTATTTATTATATCCAGAGCAGAAACAAAACGCAGCATCATATTTCACAATTACATAGAAGCGTCAAAGTCAGATTCGAATTTCGATTCGTCAAACTAAAGCGGCAGTTGAGTGAAGGTGGTTGTTTTATGAGCAATAAAGTGTAAAAAAACTGTACTTAAAACGAACTGAGTTCACTTGCGCTATGCATTACAACGTTAAACTTGTTTAATATATATAAAAATCGTAAGTGTGCGAATACTATCGAGCAACTTGCGATATTAGACCATTTCCTGACTAGCTAGCCTGCTGCTTCCTTGCAATATTATGGTGAGTGGAAACTAAATATCTTTTATATTTTAGTAAACGCATAATTATTTGTAAATTTTATTAAACTATCTCATATTTCGAAATCATCAATTGTATATATGCTGGATATTTAACTGATTTAATATAAAATAAAACATTACGTACTCTAAAAAAATTAATGCAATATATTATTTTTTATTTATATATTATTACGAGAGCCTTTTCTTGAAAATAAAATACATGTCCATATCTTAATTAGAATAAGTCTTATTAGAATATAATTTTATTGTTTTAACATAGAAAGCTCTTCAACAATGCTTTGATCCGCCTTCCATGCTACGTGCGTGACGCGATAGTTGATAAAAAAAAACAGCGAACTATTTATAATTGTTATCAAATTTAAAAAATTATTAATACATCAAGGACATGTGCAGGATGGACTTTTAGTATGATCAAAACATACAATTATAATATATATATATATATTTTTTCACCTTCCTTCAAAGCTATAGAATTTTAAATATAATCCGTAGTGAAATTTCAATTGTTAACTATACTACATTACGAAAATCTCTATATGTGAATTATTATATTTTTTATTTAATAAAATATAAGTGCGATGCAATATCCTCGTTTAAAATTTATTTATTATTTTGCATTGACTATTGATTATTGAAATGCTTAGTTAGTATTAAATTATGTTAAATCGTTCTCATGCAGTTGAATCATCGAATACTAATAATTTTAAATGAAGTAAAAATAAAAATCACAGTACATCGGAACATAATAGTTTCGTTTAAATGACTCGCGACAATCTTAAATCTCATAATAATCATTTTATTGATAAATTCTTCTTATATTTTAATGAATTACTTGATTTAAAAACATTTTCACTATAAAGTCATAGTTTACACAATACGATTTCAAATTCTATAGAATCATTACACCCCTGACTTATTTTTATATCTTCTATTGTTTCATTGATTCATTTCAAGGTTTGCAATTCTATCTGAACGATTCTGTTATAGCTTATACTATTACTTTGTTCAGAATTTAAAACAAAGTTATTAGAATTACAAAACAAAGCATTTTTTCACATCCATAACTTTTCTAGATTAGTTTTCGGGTTATGATTTTTAGTTAATGTATATAGTGAAAATTATTTATTGATATGAATTTAAGGAAATAATATTATTATGAATTTTGTTACATCAAAAGTGGATTCAATATTTATTGTGTTTTAGTATAGAAAAAACATTCTTAAATGACCTTACTTAGTGATGTCTAGTATAAAAAAAATTAAATAAAAAATGAATTATAAAATTATACAAGTTATAGAAGTGTTGTAGAAGTTTAAAGCAAGTTTATAATTATTTCAATTAATTGTTACATACAAACAAACTGTATGAAATGCAACTTGTTAGAAAATATATTATCTTATGTATAAAATTCTTGTGTCATTGTGTTATACAGAGAACTCCTCCTAAATGGCTAGACCGATTTTGATGAAATTTTGTGAACATACTTAGTCGGTCTGTGAATCGGTCAACATCTATTTTTCATACCCTTAACTGATAAGGGTTGTTCATCCTTAATTTTTTTTAATTGTCGGACAAAATTTTGTATTCTTATTTTTTTATAATGTAGCATTAAGAAATACATACAACTCAAAATTTTAACTTATCACCAACCCCTATTTTTATAGGGCAAAATAACCTTTGCGGGGCCAGCTAGTATTTATATTATTTTTATATTATTTTTATCCTATAAAACAATACATCTTTTATACATAACATTTATTAAATAATTATATTTGTCTTAATTTAAAATAAATAAATTGTTTTATTTCATACATATATTGGTTATTTCCTTAACAATGGTAATCCTGTTTTAAATATCATTCATAATAATAATTGATCTTGTATTAAACAAAATGAAAAATAAAAAGCATACAATATACACTTGTATGATTAAATTCCTCATTAATTCTGTTGTTTATATTTAAAAATACTGATTATTATAATTAATTGACTGATATTTAGTTTATTTATAACTCATATATATATAAATAATTAAAATATTATACACAAAGTCATATGGTATAATTAATTAAGAATTATAATAGTATTAGTTACGGTTAATAATTAACTAAAAGTAATTATATATATAAATTTATTATTATAGTTTAGTTGTTTCTATAGATAAAAATAGGTTTTTATTCTCATTTTATAGCGTTTGACTAATTTTTTATGTCTCCAGTCAAGTGTATATAGTTAAAATAAGAAATAAATTTCAATGTTATAGTTAGTTAGTTAGTTAGTTAGACAGACAGACGGCTAAAAACAAAATATAATAGAAACTATATTTATATATTTAGGAACTACTTGGTGTGATACAATAATGTTTATTGAAATTTTAATACCGAGTTCATATAATACATGTATCAACACTCGGCTTTGGCTGTAAATGCGCATTATTTCTTTAGAATGAATGCTACATAAGACTAGTTTTTGCACGCGACTTCGTCGTGAATTTCGGAATTAGTAATATATGTATAGATGATCGGGCGAACTCTTTTTTGCCCTAGAGGCCGTAAATAACCAGATATTGGAATTTATTAAGTTTCTTTTCAATTGAAATGAATTAAATATCCTTTGTCCGTCTCCTTGTTCTAAGCTATCTCTCCACCAATTTTCATCTAAATCCGTACAGCCGTTCTTGAGTTATAAATGGTGTAACTAACACGAATCCTTACTTAATATTATAAATGCCAAAGTAACTCTGTCTGTCTGTCTGTCTGTTACGCTTTCACGACTAAACCACTGAACTGATTTTAATGAAATTTGGTACAGAGATAGAGTTGACCTTGGCAAAGAACATAGGATAGTTTTTATCCCAGACTTTTGAAAAGTTCTCTTGGAAACGCGGTATAACCGAACTCCACGCGGGCGAAGCTGCGAGCGGAAAGCTAGTTTCTTTTATATATATATATAATATTTGTTGTGAGTACGTGTGTGTAAGTCGAGTTTAAATATTCTTTTAATTTTATTTGTAAACAAGGAATCGTATTTTTTCCCATCAAACCTGTTATACTCGGTATGCAATAAGATACATGCTTACAACTCGTTATAATACATACTAGCTGTGACCGCGACTCTGTCCGCGTTGGAAATAAAAATATATTGAATTAACTATAAATAGCTATAGTTTCTCTTAATTCAAGGTAGCGTCGAAATTGATGCATTCGTTTCAGAGATTTATATGAACAGACAGACAAACATACATATTGATTTATTAATTTTATTTAATATATTATTAAACACAACAATTTCATATATATAGTGTATGCATTCTTTCTTTAATTCATCAGAACATAGTGCATTTTTTTCTTACTCTATATATATTTTTAACATTCAATTATAAATATAATAAAAAAATATATTTATCAATCGTATTTTTACAGTGATGTCTCTTCTTATAACAAAATAAAAAAATTATACCTAATCTTCTTCTTCTATACAGGGTGACTGGTGAATTACTATCGATATTTGAGGACGTGATATTTGACGATCATATATGACAAAATAAAAATTAATATAACATAAATATTAATAAACTTCTAAGTAAAGTTAACCAAAAGTTATGTAATTAATTACGCATCGTGTGAACACCCTACAGATTAGGTATACACACACACACACTCTCGCGCGGCGGCGTGTTGTTGTATCAGCACGCCGCCGCACG